CACCATTCGACCCAGTCAACTCTTTCCAAATTCTCTTCACTGTAATCAGATTGACACCCAGACACTCTGAAATACTCATATTGATGCTTCCGGCGCGAATTCCAAGCAGCGCAGCATGATGTTTTCAAATTTCTGGAGGAGTGAGTTGCGTCATGGTACGCCTTTTCTCACAGACGGGGCTTAACTGACCCTACTATACTGCACAATCTACAAAATCTAAAACAAACAACGCGCATGCACGAAATTAAAAAAAAATAATATGGCGACAATTTACCCATCGTAGCCTATATGTATGCGAATATGTGTGTGTGTGTGTGTGCGCGGCAATAATAAAAATAGAAGTAAAATAGGATTGGCAAACTGGGGTTTTTATGATAGTTCAGAATACGAAAACATTTTAGGATGTCATACAACAGGCAGTGTAGTCTGAATTAATCATTTTTTTTCAAGATTATTTTTCATATGATTATATTAAGTATTCCATACAACGAATATGGACATTGTTGTGTAGAAAAACGAGCACCCTTCGCTATACTAAATTGTTGAACATAGAATCTTCCAGTCTCTATGAGAGGAACGTCAGCTCATACGATCAATGGTCGTAAGCATTATTGCACAAACTACAGTATTCACTATTATTGCAAGAAAAAGGACTTTTAAAGCAGTTTCATGTTTAATATTCTGGAATGTCAAGAATTAAATCCCTTATGAGAAGTTACGTATATTGGCCTAAAATAAACCAGAATATTCAGAATTTGGTTCCATCATGCAGAGTTTATGTTCTAACGGCAAAATTACCACGTGTAAATTATCAACCTTGGACTAATACGAATAAATCTTGTTCGAGGTTGCATATTGATTACGCACGATCTATGAATGGTGCATATTGATTGATTGTCGTCGACATTTTTTTTTTTCAAAATGGCCTGAAATCTTTCAGTGTACAAGACTTAGATCCACTGTAACTATAAATTTTATTCGTGAACTATTTTCGAGATTTGGAGTTTTTTATACAATAGTGTCTTATGTAATAATGTCACTTAGATTGACTTTCAACATTTTTACAAATACTATGCAGTTGAACATATAACAACACCACCATACCACCCAAGATCAACCAGTTTTGTTTATGCGTTCAAAAATGCGTTAAAGAAATCAAATGGGGAGGAGACGGAAGAATTAATGTTTCAAAGGTTTATAAGAATTTATAGACTAACTCCAAACTCTAATACTGCACCGAGGATATCATCAACGGAACTAATGTTCTCTAGGAAAATTAAATCTGTGTAAGACAAATTACTGCCTGGAAGAAAAATAAAAAATTGGTATAGTACGAAATTAACTATAAAATCTATCAATGGTGGAGGTAAGTTTTTATTCAGGATTTACAAGACAGGAAAATAAGGTTGGGAATATGGTGAAATATTAAATCACGTTGCCAGGATGATGTATATGGAACAAAGTTTAAATAAAAGGAATCTAAATCAATTAAAATCTAGATATGCTATTGAATTTGGTTTCGTTTCGTTTGTTTTACGGCATATCAACTTAAATGGGTTATTTAATGACGACAAAATTTTTATTGCTAGTAATATTTTTGGCTTGGTTTGATTTACGGCATATCAACCTCAATGGGTTATGTAATGCCGACAAGATTTTTATTGCTGGTAATATTTTTGGTTTGGTTTGTTTTACGGCATATCAACCTAAATGGGTTATTTATTGCCAACAAGATTTTTATTGCTGGTAATATTTTTGGTTTGGTTTGTTTTACGGCATATCACCCTAAATGGGTTATTTATTGCCGACAAGATTTTTATTGCTGGTAATATTTTTGGTTTGGTTTGATTTTTGTGGCTTATCAACAATTATATGGGTCATTTAAACATATAACGCATTGTAAAGTGTTGCTTAAATTACCTGGTCTTCCCCTGCGGTTTTTCATCAAAGTTCTTATCGGAATCGACGATGCTTAACGTCGGCGATCGAGCGAGTCAAAGATCACGTGGTGTTTTTGTTTTTACATTCGTAAGGTGATCAAACTACAATGATGTTGCATAGTAAACTGACCTCTCCCCATTAACTTACATATTTAATTTTTTTATATTCATTGTTGGGGGTGCTTAATCTATAGTAATAGAAAAATGATGAAAAATGGATTATTTCCGGTCACAGTGAATACTGTACAATCACCAGAGAGAACGTTTTCTGTCTGCAATCATCATGGCTGATGCTAAACTCCAGAAGAGCAACACTCTACCTATTCTTGGCCTCACGTTTTCCACTGAAATGAAGCGGAACGATTATATCGAATCAGTTGTTGCATCTAGTGCGAGTAAAGTTGGTTCACTGTGTCGTGCCAAAGTCTTTTTCTTGTCAGAATCTATCTTGCACATTTACAAATCTGCCATTCGTCTGTGCATTGAATACTGTTGCCATATCTGGTCTGGTGCTCCTGCTGTTTATCTCTATATTCTTAACAAAATCCAAAAGAATGGTTTGCAATGTAATCTGATCCTGATCAGGCATTGTGAGTTCAGTCACTTTCTCACTGACATCTTCCCTCTGTCTTTTCTACAAATACGTTCATGGCAACTGTTCTGATAAGCTTTTTCCCTGGTGCCCCGGCTACATGAATGTAATCATGCTACTAGATTGGCAACTGGGTCTCGCTGTTTTATTGATGAACTAGCTACGTGCCACCGCCGTTTTTTTTTCTCGCACTTCCCATCTGTGGAACATTGTTCCAGTTTCTTGCTTCCCTGTAAATTACAATCTCCAAAAATCTAAGTGCATCGTCAGTCACCATCTTCCGTTTTCTTGATTCCTGTAACTTTTAGGCCTTTCTTCAGTTTTCCACAGTCACGGTCTTCGCATTCTCTTTCATTTTCGCTTCTTGTAATAACCCCCGGCTTTCTAATGGCATCATCTCGTTGCTTGTGAGTGAAACGATTTAACCCCACCACTCAAAAAAACATCGTCTCCGCAAAAATTTACCGTGATTTCTCGAATACAATACGCATTTTTTACTGTAAATTACGCGTGAGAGTAGGGGTGCGTATTATAAATAGGTTTAAACAAAAAACATTTTTTCGTTATTTATAATAATTAATATGTACTTCTTGTTCTAAAGCAAGAAAGATATTATCCCAATTTTCATTTTAAATCCAACAAAAATAATTGTAAGATTTTTTTGTCAATAAATTTATGTTTATCATTAACCAGATTTTTTATTTGGCGAAAATATAAAAAAAAAATCTATAAAAAGGCCAATTTCGAAGAACTTATGGAACATCCACTTGATCGTCTTTCTTTCCCAAATTCAACTAAACTTTGTCCCATATTAGAATATTGAGCTTTTCTTCCTCTGCCTATAGATTTGGCATTTGATTTACATTTTTTAGTTCATTTTTATTCTTTCTCATTAAACGTATGTTAGCCTCATTCAAATCATATTCTCTAGCTGCAGCTCTGTTTCCTATTCTTTCTGCTAATTCTTTTACTTTTTGTTTAAAATTTGAACGATAACCCACACATTTAGACGACATTTTGGCGGTAAAATAAAATGTTATATTTATCGAGAAAACCGAATTAAATTTTCAACATTATTTTAGCCGTTTAATATTGATTTTATTCTTAATGTCAACGTCGACAAAATGTCTTCGTAATTATTTTTTGTTTTTTTTTTGACAAAATTTATAGATGCGTATTATACATAGGGATAGATATATTTCTTAATTTTTGGATCATTTTTTGGGGTGTGTATTACTTATGGGTGCGTATTATTTTCGTTTGTTTTTTTTTTAAAACTTTCTGTAGGGCATGTTTTTATTACTTCAAACAAAACGGGTTTTCTTAACTAAGTTAAGCAACGTCGAGACTGGTCAGTATCAAGATGAGTGATCGCTTGCGAATAGGAATTATGCCGTAAAAAACAAAAAAAAACAAGAACAAATCAATAAGCATTACTTCAAACGTTATTTTTTGCGAATACCCGTGTTTTAAATAGACGAACCCTTTTTATTTTGAACTATGTGTAGTATGCCTAAAACTTGTCGTCTATTTCGAACACGCGTAACCGCAAAACACTTGGAAGTAATAAAAATCCATCAATTCTGTAGATACGGTTGGTTATAAAATATCTTAATTTTCTAATATAAGATTTTCAAATTATTCTATTCAAAAATGTCAACACTGCTTACTTCCTTTATACATTACTTAGTTTCCATTACTGCCGAGCTGTGATCGAAATGCAAAGACCGTTACAAACTTCAGATCAAATCATTTTTTTTGAATAACTAAGCAATTTAATTATAAATCCATTTAACAAAACAATCGCTTATTTCTAAAAATCACAGAGAACAAAAATTGTAATGCAAAACATACTTATTCATTTAATAACAGTCATTATAAAAGCAAATGATTGATTAATAATAATAATAATAATAATAATAATAATAATAATAAGAAGAAGAAGAAGAAGAAGAAGAAGAAGAAATCTCGAAAATGTGACATATTGGAACATCAACAATCCCTGTTGTAGTTGGAGCCCTAGGACTGATTGGAAAAGATTGCAATAGACTAATTGAAGGGATTCATGGAAGTCCATGCCTGAAGGAGATACAAAAAAATGTTCTGACAAGTACAGCCCACACTTTATGAAGGGCTTTATCTATATATACATATATTTTTTTGTCAGTGGAAAGTGTCATGATGCCATTTCTAACCTTAGGTCCCTGGGCGGGACCCGGAAAGAAATGAATAAACGCCAGAAATAAAAGATAATAATAATAATAATAATAATAATAGTAATATGATAATAATAATAATATTAATGATAATAACAATGATAATGATAACAACAACAACAACAACAATAATAATAATAATAGTTTCGTTCGTTTTGTGATTGGTGCGTCCCGTTAGAAAGTAATGAGGTTGAAAAACGAACACATTTCGTTACTTCCCGTTTTTTGTAGTTTTAATTTTCTCCTGGAAAGATTCCAAGAAGCCATCCCAGCCTCCCTGCCGACCTCTTTGCGTATTCATCTATCCGTGTTGGCCGACCTATCGTCGCTTGCCGCAATTCTATCAGCTGGAAGTCTTGGTCGATCACCGAGCCAATCATTCAGCGATGCATTTGTAGATTACAGTAAACGCCCCGTTCAGCTCTCTTTCTCATTAAATACCTGGCGAACGGACATTAGTGAGATCGCCGGCGGTCATTTTTGTGTGTGGAATAAAGGAGGTGGGTGTTCGCGGGATAATGATGTCGGCAGAGAATGTAGAACGAAGTCTCTTCATCACAAAGTTGTCAGCGGTTGTCTCCCTTGAGGATGCATCTCTCAACACCGTATGTTTTCTTAACTTATCGCTGAAACTTTTGCAGTTCGTCCTCCATTTTGAATATTTAATAGACCAATATGAAATGAAAAAATACATTATTCGGTCGGACATTTATGCATCTATCAAGCCAGCCATCATGGTCCTGCATCAAGGTTGAAAGGTCATTAGAAGAGTATTCTATGTTATCATAGCTGGTCAATATAGCTACTTGTAAGGCGACTAACTTGTTTCGCTCCATGGCTAGGTGGCCAGAACAATAGATCGATTCTTGTTTTCCTTACTAGCAGTATCTCGTAAAACGAATTATGCGTCGGCGTAAGATTATAGAAAAAGTACAAATATGGATTAAAAATCAGTTGTGTATAAAAAAATTGCAACAACAAAAGTATTGACTACATCTGCGTTGAGCAATAGTTGATGGAAATATGTCTGATCTCCATTGATTCTTTTATCAAAAAATTGCTGCTGATAACTTCGGACGTAGTAGTAAACAGGTCACATGATGATAATCTAATTTATTGACCAATGGTAATGCTTTATACACACTTGGGACTGAAATATTTCGAAAACTGGTCAGGCAGAAAATTAACCTATTTATTTTCACCGTCGAATTATTTGTGTCGATGGACATTGATGGTTTAATTTACAAACATATAATTAGTACCGGATTTTTATGAACCTATAATTAATATATGTTACGGACATATCACTTTCAAACACCGAAGTTAAGCAACATTGAGCTTGGTAAATACCTACCTAGAAAGATGACCGCTTGAGAATACCAGTTGTTGTAACGTTGGATGTGCGGGTGGTGTGATGGATGGCGGCTTGGAATGAGTAATCGGAGAGCCGAGTTCGAATTCCAGTCGAGTTCGTTACATTCGTTTCTCCCAATCATTGGGTTAAATAGTAGGACAGACAGTAACGGCATCCTACTGCATGAATTCTAGCAAGTCAATTATGAATCGAAAAGAGACATGATCACTCAAGCCTACACCACGTATGGCAGCTAAGAAAGGATAGTTAATAATGTTTATACTGGACTCTCCCGTCATTTTCAACTCAAGGTCAAGCAACTCATTTGCTAAGAATCGATAGCCAGACACCTGGGCATATGATTTGATTATAGTTGTGAAAGCTTTGTGCAGAACCAACATTTTTTGAAGAGCCGAATACAGAAGCCTGGTGCACTACGTGCCACAACGTCACCATTTTGAATTCAGAATTGTCCTTCCCCTAAAGCGTGGGGAATAAGCGGATTCATACCTTTCCCAAGGGAATTAGTACGTAAGGGAATGTAATGGATCCGACCGGAATTCGAACTCGGATCTCCATTTCCTCAACCCGAGCCGCCATCCTTTACTCCACCGTGGTCCTAATAATGTTTATAAAGCTATAATTAATGACACATTTTTTAGAAAACTATAATTCATACAACATTTTTATTTTTATATTTAATACTAGATTCTACGATGGTGGGTTGAAAAGTGACAACAAACGAGCTGTGAAAATTATGCATGCGTTAATTTCAACATAAATGACTATAAATATTTTCATATCAATTGTTCTAATGGTTTTTCCTCCAAGGTCCCTTGACTGCATAAATTTAAACGTACTACTAGATTGGCAATTAGGTCTCACATTTTTACTGTTGAACTAGCCGCATGAAACCGTTTATTTTTATTTTAATAGTTTCTTTTCTTGCTGTTCTTGAAATCTATTCTGGTTTCTTGCTTTCCCGCCAACTACGTTTTTCGAAATATTTAAATGCCAAATCAATCTCTTTCTCATAGTAACCTCCTTGTACCTTAGTTATCACCTTTCTTGAGTCGGAATGAGTAAAAAATATTTCGACTAAAATATTCAGAGAAATTAAAACACAAATAAATGTCATTAACGTCAATGAAGAAACTGCAAATTGGATACAAAACAGAGAATACGTTTTATAAAAATAACAGAAAATGACAGGTATAATTTTTGTATATAATTAAAGAAGATTTATTCACTTTCGTAGAAAAGAAGGTTTTTTTCTCTGTGTATTCCTTATGTAGGTTTGATTGAGAGAAAATATATTCTCTATGTACATATAGTGATAGAAGAACTAGCATTCCTAGCATTTATGCTGTACTCGAAACGTGACTAGTGCTGCAAGAGAAAAATAATTTTCTCTGGCTATTTCTATCTTTGGATTCAAACGAGGCTGCAGGCATTATGGAGTATAGAATATTTCCATTGTTCATCAACTTTGATGATACATCACGTGACTTGCTTCCTACTACGTCCGATGTTATCAGCAGCTGCTGTTTAACAAAGAGGATCAGCCGCTCAATTTAATTACTTTTGAGTGATGTGTCTCTAAGTTTGATTCTCACCAACTGACGCTTATTTTCGTCGGCGTTCATATCTGTAACTTTTAGCATCTTTCTTCAATACTCACGTTTTTGACCTCATGCCATCCTAGACTAAAAGCGTTGTTGGGATAATAAGCTCCGTAAAATCAGTAAATAATCTAGAAACACACAAAAACTAAGTACAAATCTTCATAATTAGATAAAGAGAGATGTAAAATATAAGTCCTCTTCAAATCAGTCGGAAGGACGTGAATGAAACTCTTTTATTCAAGAAAGGAAAATTAATAAAAAGGGAAGAATTGCCTTCTCCCCGACACTGAATAGGGAAGCTAGCGAGTGGCACGAAAATTAGTTTTTACTCTAAAGTTATGCACATAATATACGCCCAGACCTCTCGAGATTTTCAGGCTTCTACTATCACAACATTTCGTTTTCACCTTTGGCGTGGAGTTCAGATTCTTGCATTCTAAAACATCGTCCAATTTTGCTAAGGATAATAGCGTTCATTTTTTCATCAAATGTTTAAGTTTTAAGTTAGTCCGATATATTTCCAGCTCATTAACTTCGATATCAGCGTCAATTTGAAGAACTACAAGTTTCCTAATTTTCTCAGTATGTTTCTTTTTATCTCGGGTAAAGGATTTATCAATACTAATTATGGCGCTACGACATACAACATTAGGTTTAGATTGGTTCTAGCGGAAAGCCGCATGCATTGCAAGAGCTTGCGAATACTTCAAACTCTTATCGCAGATTCCCTATGTTTTGGTTTAAATTTTCCTCTTTATGGCCAATCAGAAAGCCGGAGTCTATACAGCAAAGAATTCAAATGTCATAGAAGTGAAAAGTTATTTGCCTGACATAAAAATCACAGATCCATACAATATGATGTGCATGACTTGAATGTAAAAAAATAATTCTGAGCAGCCACTAGCTTCTCTTTTCAGAGTCAGGGAGAAGGCAGGTAACACATTTCTTCCCTTTTTATCAAATGTTCTGTCTTGAATATAAGAGATTCATTTACAGTATTCCGTATTATTCTTTACCGTTCTTTTTTGTTTCGCTTTGTTTTTTGGGTTTATGTTTGGGTAAATATTTGTACATACATCAGGTACTACAAAGGCTGCCCACATGTATTTGATAGTATCAAAACACGTATTCTGAGGGAATGGTAGAATGTTTCAGTCGGTTATAGAGCTTCTTCCTGAAACAGTAGTTAAAAAGGTGACGTTTCTTTCTATTTACCTATCTCGGAAAAGACAACTCATTCTATGTGCCGTGCCCAAACAGTACGTAGGCGATCACGATTCTTCCCAACCTCTTCTCCTTTGTGGCTCGTAGTATGTCTTGACTCTTCGCTATCTTTCCTAATCCATGTTCTACCAATTAATTGCTCAATCTACCTAGGTAGGATTTGCGTTATTCTCTTTTTGTGAGTATCAAATTCCCCAAGCCTTTTTTCTCATTATGTGCACTAGAAATTTTTACAGTCTCTTTCTGATTCGTTAAACCTTGCCTGGTACGCATGCGTTCAGTTCATGGGATTTTCAACATTTTTCTATGGAACCAGATCTTTGATATTTCAAGTCTCATCTTCAGTTGTGAGGAACTGGTCCAGCATCCACTGCCATATAGGAGGACCTATATTATGTAAATGATCAGTCCACTTTTCTTTGTTTCTAACTTTTCCCTTTCTCTTCAATTTTTATAGACGTGTCCTAATTTAGTTTGCTCGAAACTAGATTCTCTTAAGTTGTCTTCATCATTATTAATTTGACGTATTTTTCCACGATATGTTATTATGCCTCTCTCCAACTTATAGCTCTAAGGAAAATCTGATTCTTTAGCATTTCTATTTGTCCCTACACTGCCATCTATACATGCAAGAAATCTTATTAATTAAATTTATCTGTTTTCCACTATCCTTTCGTCTCCCCGAAACGTCCTGTAAGTATTGAATTTTTCAAGCTGTCTTTTCTCATAAGATGTCCTCGTAATTTAAAATGTGTCTATCCGATTTTAGTTATAAGTCTCTTTCTAGTTTCCATTTTCTTTATTACTATCTTGCAGTTCTCGTGTCCAGTCCAAAGTATTCTCAGCAACCATTTGTAGAACAACGTCTTTGTCGCTTATTCTAGAATTCACTGTAATATAGGAGACTACTTTCAAAGCCGGAATCCGTGCGGGCTCTTAATCTAGATCCCGTGTAGGGCTAACTGGGTCTCCGGCCTAAACCGAAAGAGACCTTTGGTCAAGCTTAGAAAACAGCAAAGTTAATTTTGAAGAAATAACTTGAATTCTACAATCCACACCGTGGAACTTAAAAAAAACTTCTTTTCAACTCTGGTTCAGGCTATATGTCCAATTCCGGCCAAAGGACCGATTTGGGCCAAAGGACCGATTTGGGCCGAAACTCCGATTTCGGCTGAGACTCTGATTTGGGCCAAAACTACGATTTGGGCCAAATGTTCGATTTGGGCTGAAAGTCCGATTCGGGTCGAAATTTCAATCCAATCCGAAAACTGATTTCTTCAAATCATGAACTGTGCGGAACTTTAAAACTTCACACCACATTTTTTTAAAAAATTTGACAATGTTTTTGTTTTACTTTAAACT